TTTACATAGGAATATATAGGGAAATCGTTAAAAATCTTCTTCTCAAGAACTACAAAGCCACAATTAGTCATATTGATATGGAATCATCTTCAGGTAGTGTAGATTCAAATTTGTTCAAATCATGACCCCCGGGGGTAGGGTGGGGCTACAATGGGGGATCAAATTTTTACATAGGAATATATAGGAAAATTCTTTAAAAATCTTCTTCTCAAGAACAACAAAGCCACATTTAGTCATATTGATATGGAATCATACCCAAATATTGTAGATTCAAGCTTGTTCAAGGCATCCTCCAGTAGTAGGGTGGAGCCATAATGGGGGATCAAAGTTTTACAAAAGAACATATACAGGAAATATCTTTAAAAATCTTCTTCATTCTCAAGAACAACAAAGCCATGATCAGTCATATTGATATGGAAGCATCCTCAGGTAGTGTACATTCAAGTTTGTTCAAATCATGAACCCCCCTCCCCCCAGGGTAGGGTGTTAGTCATATTTAAAATTCTATTTTAAAGAACAGCAAAATCATGATTAGTTATATGAAGACAGAGGCATCCTCAGAAGTTTTATATTCAATTTCATTCAAAACATGGCACCTTGGGGTAGGGTATGCCTAGAACAGGCGAACAAAGCTTTATATATGAATATATAGGAGAAATATGGGAGAAGAAATCTGCTGACGAAGAACAGCAGGGCCATATTGACTCAGGTGAGCGTTGTGGCCCATGGGCCTCTTGTCTTCTCAAGAACCATTGACCCCGGGAAGAAGAAACTTATGTGGAATCATTTTCAGGTAATGTAGACTCAAGTTTGTTCAAATCATGACCCCCAGGGGTAGGGTGGGGCCACAATGGACGATCAAAGTTTTACACACGAATATATAGGAAAAATTTTTGAAAATCTCCTCAAGAACAGCAAAGCAATGATGTTCTTATTTATGTGAAAGCATCCTCAGCTGGTGTAGATTCAAGTTTGTTCAAATCATGACCCCCGGGGGCAGGGTGGAGCCACATTGGATGATCAAAGCTTTACATATGAATATATATAAGAAAAATCTTCTCAAGAATAGCAAAGCCATGATTAGTCATTCCATATGGGAGCATCTTCAGGTGGTGTAGATTCAAGTTTATTCAAATCATGACCCCTGGGGGGTAAGGTGGGGCAACAATGGATGGTCAAAGTCTTACATAGGAGTATATAGGAAAAATCCTTAAAAATCTTCTTAGCAAGAACAGTAAAGCCATGGTTGGTCATATTTATATGGAACATCCTCAGGTAGTGTAGATTCAAGTTTGTTCAAATCATGATCCCCCAGGGGTAGGGTGGGGCCACAATGAAAGTTCAAACTTGAAGGGGAAAAAGTCACAGTAAAAAAAAAAAAAATAAGTAAAGCATCCCTAGTTAGTGTAGATTCAATTTTGTTCAAATCATACCCCCCCCCCTTCTCCCTTTTAGCAGTTTAGTGGTAGTTCGGGACACTTATGCATTTAAGCTTTTCAATACTAAACTGATTTTTGCTTACTTCCTAGCCACGGTGCTCAGGTGAGCGATGTGGCCCCTGGGCCTCTTGTTAATATGGTATTGGTATGCATGTACAGAAAAATATATTACCAAGAAAAAAAGTTTTACGCTAGCCATTAAGTAGATTAACTTAGAAATACTTCAAAGCGTATTCTGTCAATTACGCAGAGTTTGAATTGATATTTGTAGTAGCTTATAACAGCATAATGCATTGCGACTCATTCAACTGGTTGGGTAAACTATGCCAGGACATCAACGTTAGTTGGAAACGTGGGATAATTTGCATAACGGACGAAGCCCGTTATGCATAAATTATCCCACATTTCCAACTGTCCTTGATGTCTCTGGCATACCCAACAAACTAGACAGTGATTCCTTATATTTACATTTAGATGTGAAATAAAATTGTAAATATAAATAGAAAATGCTGTCTAATAGATTTAAGGCCTCCCATGTTAATTTCAATAGCCCCATGTTAATTTCAATAGTCTCCGCCCCACTGACGTCAGACACAAAGACGGCCGCACAAAATTGACATGCGTATTAGGGTCCTGACCTTTCACTTGCCGTAATTTACATTCAGATGTAATTATCAAGAAATATTTACATCCACTGAATTTTATTTCCTTTATTTCTTATGAAAACTATTGCCGTTTATCAGTCAGTAAACACAACTAAACCAGTGACCTGCAAAGATTTCTTTAGCAATGACGTACACATCTAAATAGGACGGTACAACAAGACCCCCCCCCCCTTCCCGTGTTCCGTACCCAAAGGGTTCTTTTTTTTTTTAAATAAGATATTTTTCTGTGACTCATTCACGATGTATTACAACTGAAAAATCCAAAATAGAACCTAAAACTAGCCCTTTATAAAAATTCACACTCTCTGATACTAAAAGAGATCTACCTTATTTAATAAACCATTTACATGCAGAATGTACATAACTATGATGTTAAACCAAAATTAAAAAAAAGCT